CTCAGAGTCGGCGGCCTGCAGGGGCGTCATCTGAACCGGGCTGTGTCAGCCGACACGTGAAATGTGGAGGTCGTTTTAAGCGTGGAATTGTTTTTATAGAAGTGGAAATGTATGTGAACGTCTCTATTTGTGTATTTTTTTTCTCTAAAGTTGTGTCTCTTTGGGAATTGGATTTGGTTTTCATTATTTAATACCTCATTCCGGCCCACCCTCTCGACTGGTCACTTCCTCTCCCCCTCTCTTCCCTGCCCCTGCCAGGATGTCCCCACGGAAGTGCATTTTGTAGCAGCTCGGGCCTCCCTCAGCCCCCGGTCTCCCCGGGTTGCCAGGCTCAGCCTGGCCCCTCTAATCCTTGGATGTGTCCTGCTTTCCCCGTGTCTGTCTGTCTGTCTCTGTCCACGTCGGTGTGTTGGAACCCCAAGGGTTCCGTCCCTTCCCATCCCTTCTGGATTTTAAATAAATATTTAAAACTGAGGCAATGGAAGGGCTGTTCACTGCTGTGCTTCTTTTCAAAGGTCGCGGCGAGAAGGAAGAAGAGGGGCCAGGAGAGAGGGTGCTGTGGGCTGCAGGGCTGCTGGGTGGGTGGGGGGGCAATGCCCAAAGATAGGGAGCTTGGGGTCTGTAGGGGGCAGGCAGCTGAGATTACCATGAACACATATGTTTTTATTATAAAACATTCTGAAATTGATTGTAGTATGATTGAACTATTGAATTGTATGATATATGGGTATATGTATACATATATATGCATATATATATAAACCAGGGAGACTCTCATATGTGAATAGGAAAGAGGTTTATGTACAAGAGCAATTAAATATGGAGAAAACATCCCGGCCCAGTCCAGATCAAGTCCATAAGTCTGATATTAGCCCATATGTCTGATACTAATCTAGAAAGCCCTCTTGAGATTCACAAACACATGCAATGACACCGAATGGAGGAAGATCACAGGCCAGTGGGTGGGAAGTCTTGTGGATCCAGTCGCGTTAAAAGCATCTCAGCACTGGCAGGGTCTCCACGTGGCTCCTCCAGCTCCCGAGGCTCTGGCTGCATCAGGATAGCTTCATGTGTCTTGTCAACCATAATGTCTCACAGAGAGTCAGCCTGTGTCCTGCCTCCAGCGAGCTATTTATCTCTTTAGCACCTCCAAATGAGGTCATCAAGCTGTGACCTGATTGACAGGCTAAACTCCACCCCTTCACTCTGAATCCTCTCATATTGACAACAGATTATATAACTACCACATACACACACACACATATATAAAAGATAGGTGTAGGTATACGATAGATGATAGATAGATAGATAGATAGATAGATAGATAGATAGATAGATAGAGATATAAAGCATAGGAGCCCTGTGGTGTGGTGGGTTAAGCCACTGGGCTACTAACTGATAGGTCAGCAGCTCAGCCCCACCAGCCAGTCCACACGTCCAAGTGGCTGTGGCTTGGGGGGCAATAGACAACGTGAAATCAAGCACTGGAAACATGGAGTTTGTTCACAGGGTTCTGCAGCCATTACCCAGGTCTCCTGCTAGAACATGTTCATCGCCCCCGAGCCTAGTTTCACCCATGCCCACCCCAGCCCTGGCCACCTCCACTCCACTTCCACGTCTGGGTCTCAAAGGCTTCCATTACTCAGCACCAAGGGCCAGCCCCTCCAGAGCCTCCATGCCACAGAGGGCTTTTAGCTCTGAAAATTGTCCACCTGTTGTGGACCTGGGATAAGCAGGAACCAGTTCCTGGAGGGGCACCCTCCATGCTTAGTCAACTAGACGCTGAGCGAAAAGAGAGAGAGACTATCCACAGATGGATTGATACAGTGGCTACAACCATTGGTCCAAACATTGGAGAGGTGGGGAGGACGGTGCAGGACCAGGCGGTAGGTTGCTGTGCATCAGAAGTAACCACACGACCCCCAACAGCAGGCAGGGGGTGGGGGCGGGCATTGCAAGGGGAAGGAGCAGCTCCTACCAAGGTCCAGAGCTGAAAGATAGTTCCTGAAGGTCATCCACCATCAAGGGGATTCTCCCTCAGCAGTCCCCTAGGGCAGGGTAGAACCACCCTGTGGGTTTCCGACACTGTGACTCTTCGTAGGAGTAGAAAGCCTTGTCTTTCTCCCTCGGAACCGGGGGTGCTTTCGAACTGCTGACCTTGTGGTTAGCGGCCCAATTTGTAACCCTCTCTGCCACCAGGGATCCCTATACAACTCTCAGAGGGGTTCCTGGGCTGCAATCTTCACAGAGGCAGACCGCCAGGCCTTTTCTCCGCAGAGGCGTGGTCGGCTTTGAACTGGTGGGCTTTGCCACTCTGTGCCATTAAGGGTTTCCGCAGGTGAAAGGTAGCATTGTGTATTTGGGGCAATGTAAGTGGTGAGCTGAGAATATGACAGGTTACGGACTTCCACAGACTTCAACGGGAGAGATGGGGCAGAGGCCAGCTGAGCTGGGTCTGCTTGCAGCCTTGGGGGTGTGGGCTGGGGCTCTGTCCTGGAGCTGCTCTGGGAGGAGCTGGAGGAGTGTGGAAGGCAAGGTCTGGTGTCTGCATCTGACATGGGAGCCATGGGAGTTCCAGGAAGGAGTGGCAGAGGAGGAAGAGGGAGGGGCTATGTTAAAACCAGAATAACTCTCTCTGGAGCATCTCTGTGGCCCAGCTAGTCACACAGGCCCCTGGAGCCCAGCCTGCTCATTCCCTGCACAGAGAGGTAGTGGTTGCTGCCAGCAGAAAACAGCCCCCAAGCGGCACAGCTTGCCCTTGCCAACCTTGTTGCACAACCAAGTGCCAGGAAGCACTCCGGGTGGATTCCCTGGGGCAGCCCAGCCACCAGTGCCCCCAGGACAAAGGCCAGCCCAGCCTGTGTTTGCTCTGCACACAGGGACTCCAGGTCCAGCCCTGGGCAGGCACCTCCACCAGGTCCCTGCCCAGGGCTGGGGAAGGGAGGGAGGGCAGAAGAGAAGGGGAGAGGCTGGTAGCTGGGGTCTGACTCCAGCCTGTGGCCTTGAATGGGCCCTTCCCTCCCTCTGCCCAACGGGAATGATACGCCTAGCCCTCTTTGCCAACCACAGGCAGGGCTAGTGTTCAGTCATGAAATGCCCCCAACTCACAGCCATGAAAATCAACTCGATGCCGACTCACAGTGACCCTATAGGGCAGATTGAACTGCCCCTGGGGTTTCCAAGACTGTAACTTAACCGCCATAAAGCGTCCTCAACCTTCCTAAAGCCTGCAACCCTTTAATACAGTTCCTCATGTTGTGGTGACCCCCTCCCCCCCCAAACACAAACTTATTTTCGTTGCGACTTCATCACGGTCATTTTGCTACTGTTATGAATCGGGCAACCCCTGTGAAAGGGTCGTTCAACCCCCAAAGGGGCCTCAGCCCACAGGTTGAGAACGGTTGCTTTACAGGAATAAAAAGCCCTTTTTCTCCCAAGGAGAGCCACTGGTAGTCTCAAACTACTTACCTTGTGGTTACCAGGCCGGCATGGCGCCAGGGCGGTTTGGCCTCAGGATCCTCCACCCGGTTCTTGGCCTGGAAGGGGCCTGTCTTCAGGCACAGAGGCCAGAGGTCCCCAAGGCTTGGCTTGTGGCTGGTCCCAGCAGGCTTGGCTTGCTCGGGCCCTGCTGGTGGAGACTGCCACTGCTGTTGCTCACGCCCTGCCTTACCCACACGGTCGGCGGCAGGGGCCCAAGTGGGAGGGTAGCTTTGCCCACTAAGCACAACACGACAAGGGGTGGCGGGCCAGCTGTACTGGCTGAATTCCTCTGTACATGTGTAAAGCAGTCCCTGGACCTCCAGCCCCCAGGGGGCTTCCCCGGCCCCAGTCTTCTGCCCTACCCAGCAACCACGCCCTTCCACTATGCTCCTTGTCACCCATGGAGGCCCTTGCCAAATGTCCCCGAGTGTGTGTATTTAAAGCGACAGGTGGGCATATGAACGTGTGGCCCTGGGTCCAATAAAAGACCGCGAGCCCGGGAGAAAGAGAACTTGAACTCGACCAAGCCAAAGGAAGGCTGTGGGTCCCTTCCATTTGTGGCAGGAATCCCCAGTGGGTCCCATGGTGGATGCACCCGGCTCTCTGGAAGTACCTGGGAAGGAAGGCCCGGTGATAGGCTTTCAAAAGAGAAGATCCGGCGTGGGAGCCTTAAGGAGCCTCCTTCTACTCGGTCCCCTTGGGTGACTGTGAGCTAGAGAGTGAACCTGACAGCTACTGACCCACTAGCACAGGAACAACTATGGAAGATAGATTGATCCAGTGAACATATAAGACGGTCAGCATACTATCATACTAAGTGCTTAAATCACATGGATAACGATTTGGCCCTATCAGGTAGAAAGGATTCCAAGTCAGTCCAGTGGAGTCACTCCCTGGCTACCATGTAAAGCACCTACTGTGTGCTACCACTGTCCAAGGGGTAGGGCTATGCTGGTAAAGAGAGGCAAGCTCCTTGCTCGCGGGCAGGGGACGGGACAGCACAGACAGCATTTCTTGTAGTAGACATTGGAAGTAACACATTTGCTGGCAACTGACATTCAACTTAGATGCCGCCTACTGTGGGAAAAGTATCCCCACACATTTCCTCTTCCAGCCATGTCCGCTGGACTGAGTGTATGTCCCCACCCGCAGCCAGCTGGGAATGCTCCAAGGTCCCATCAGCATTTGCCCACGTTCCTGCACAAGTCTGGGCTCAGGAATTGATGGGAACATCAGGCTGCCCCGTGGGTGATTCCTCCATTGAAGTCCAAGGACGGACCCCACCCCTCATCCACCCTGGCCTCGAATCAGACACGTGTAACCCCTTCAACCTCAGGGCTCCGCTTTAGACCCGGCCTTGAAGAGGTTCCCTGCAGCTGGCCTCAGGGAAATGAAGCGCTGTTTCGTACAAAGCATTTCCCAAGTGTTCATGGGATTGCCTCACATTCCTGGCACTGCCCTGGCTGGGTCTCGGGTGACCCGCCCACTGCTTGCAATAAAGGTCAGTGAGCCCTCAGGCCACCAGTCTGGCTGACTCCAGGTCCCCATCTCCAGGCATGGCGCTGCCTTGGGCCCTCACTGTCCTGAGCCTCCTCCCTCTGCTGGCCACCCAGGACCCAGAATGCGCCATCCTGAAGCCAGCCCCTATCACCAACGCCACCCTGGAGCAGGTGAGCACAAGACCGCCTAGCCCCTCACCATGCCAGGGCCCTGAACACCCTGCTCCGGCATGCCGCCCTTTCTTCCTGGGTGCGGGGGTGAAACTCTGAGAAGTTGGGCAGCCTTCAAGGTACCTTGGCAGGGCACTTATGTGCTGGCACTGGGCGGATCTGCGAAATGGGAGTGAGAGATTCATGGTGTCTGCCCTCACCCCCACCCAGCTGATCATTGAGGATTTGGGCTCAGGCAGCCCCTGCCCCCCTTACCCAACTCTTGGCTTCTCCCCACAGCTCTCTGGCAAATGGTTCTTCCTCGCCTCTGCCTTCCGCAACCCCATGTACAAGGAGGCAATTAAAACAATCCAGGCATCCTTCTTTTTCCTGAGCCCCAACGTGACGACAGACGAGATCCTTCTCAGACAGTACCAAACCATGTGAGACAGACCCCACCCCCCCCACCACCCCCCGCAACGCATGCCAGCCATCCCCACAGGCACTAACTCCAGCTTCCACTCACAGCAATTCCCCTGGGGCCCCGCCCTCTGCCTGCCCATCCTTGGGTGGGAGGGCCAGCTCTGGCCCCTTGGGGACTGGGATGGGGGATGCTGTCTCCCTCTTGACCATCTCCCTCTCCCGGTGTCTTGACTGTAGTCGGGGTCAGTGCATCTATAACTCCACCAGCCTGTGGGTTCAGCGAGAGAACAGGACCCTCTCCAGACTAGGTAAGGGTTCACTCTCAGACTGAGGCTCCCAAATCAGGTGGGCTGGCACAGCCTCCATCAGGAGGACTGGGACTGAGGGCCCTGGAGGCCCAGGGATAATCCTCACCTTGTAGCACCATGTCCTGGTGCTCTGCCCGCACACGGCATCCATTATAGTAAGACCTGCCGGCTCGGTGGCTTCTTCCTGTGTGCCGTGTGCCGGGCGCTGCAGAAGTGCTTCTTGAAAATCAACTCGGTGATACGGACAACTCAAAGCCGGGAAGACAATCATGCCCAGGTCACAGAGGAGGATACTGGGGTGGGGGTGGGGCACAGACAAGTCATTTCTCTGAGGCCACACAGCTTGTCATTAGAACTAGCACTCAACTCAAGGCTGGCTCCAGGCCCGCCCCTCCCTTAACCGCTCTTTATGGTGCCCGGGAGGGGAGAGGGTTGTCGGGACCTTGGCTCCACTAATGTCAAGTCATCACTGCGGAAGTGGCATTGAGTACGGGCAGGGGCAAAATGCAGGTAGGACCAAGACACTGCCACTGCCCACCCTGAGGGTCCTCAGACCTCCTCTCCCTCCCGTGCAAAATGGGGAGACACCCACTCCCATCTCCTCTTGTACATGTGTGGTGCGTATGCACCCTCTGTGGACAGGCTCCGCCTGTGCATATATGCACGAGTGTGTGCATGTGCCCTCTGTGCACAGACTCCCCCACCCCAGGCATGTGCATGTGTGTGTGTCTGTGTGTGTGTCTGTGTGTGGATGCGTGCTGTGTGGACAGGTTCCCCGTGTGCATGTGTGCATGTTCCACCCATGTAGGCGGAGAGCTCACTAGGGGCTGCGGGTGTGGGGGCCAGGTGAGCCCTGCGTCTTCGTCCTCCATTAGGGGCCCTGTTGTGCCTCGTGGACTCACCCCCTGGCCATTCTTTCCTCCAGAGGGGGGCACGGAACACTTTGCCAACCTGCTGCTCACCAAGGACCCCAAGACCTACTACTTTTCCTTCTTCATAGAAGATGATCTGAACAAGGGACTGTCCCTCTATGGTAGGCAGCTGCCAACTCCATCCCTAACCCTAGGACTGGATCCCTGAATTCCTACCCTGCCCACAGCCACACCTGAGCCCTACTACCTGCTCACCTGACATCTCCCACGTCCCCCACTGCAGGTGACAAGCAGGAGGTGACTGAGGAACAGCTACAAGGGTTCTCCCACGCCGTCAAGTGCATGGGCATGGAGGAGTCTGAAATCCTGTTCACCAACGGCAAAGAGGTAAAGGCTGAGGGCCCCAGGTGACCCCACCTGGGCAGAAGCCCAGAGCAAGAGGATGCAGCCAAGGAGGCAGCAAAGCAGGGGTCCCGCTCCCAGGCCGAGCAGTGGGGCCTCCCGGAGGCCTGGCTGGGGGATCAGAGGCAGGGGGAGTGTCCTCTGACATCAAGGACACTGGAGAGGCAGGGGAGGGTCTGCAGGGGGAGCAGGAGGGGAAGACTCTGAGCAGAGGCATGGTGGTGGAACTCCCAAATGGTTAAGCAGTCAAAGCCACCCAGAGATGCGGCAATCTGCTCCCCAAAGGTCAGGGCTTGCGAACCTCCCGAGCAGAGCAGGTGAACTCTGTAGTTAACTGACCCGAGGGCATTAACAAGCCCGGCCTTGGCTCCCATCCTTCAGTTGCACACGTGCCTGCTGGCTGGGATGGAGGCTGCCGTGTCCACGGCCACTGGTCCAGTTTTGTGTCCCAGAGACTTGCCTGCCCAAACTCTGCCGCCATGCCTGTCTCTAAACAAGTAAGCGACAGGCTTTCTTGGGCCTCCTTCTGGGCCGATGTGTGTAGACATCACAGCTGGTGAGCTGGTCACACTTTATTGATCTACACGAAACCGGCCCAGAACGGTCCTGGCAAACTTCTTCAGTTTGCCACTCCAGCCCCCAGGAAAGGGGAATGAACTCAGACCACCAGGGTGTGCCTCCACCTAACGGGTGACCACGGGGCCTCAGTGTCATCAGCTGTGCGATGGGCACGGCTATGAGGCACCCAGGTCACCCTCTAGGGCCTGTCTGGTCTGCAGTGCGCAGTAAGGGCATGAGCCCCATCACAGAGACAAGTCAGCAGAGGCTTGGCGGGGAACCGTGATGTGCCCAAGGTCCCTTAGGCAGGAACTAGCAGGGCCAGGGCTGGGGTCCTGGGAGGACTGGTTCTAGAGTCTGGAGCAGACGCCATGGCCTGGGAAAGCCACCATCCACGGTCCATAACTGTGCTTTCTCCTGGCTGTCCCCGACCCCAGGACGCGTGCGGGCCGCTGGAGAAGCAGCAGGAGGGAGAGAGAAAGAAGGAAGACCAAGTGTCTGCAGGGGACAAGTCCTTGTGATAGCCGCCCGGGGACTAGGGACCCAGCCTCACACTGTCTGGGGCCCTGCGGTTGGGTCAATAAAGCTCCTGTCGTTGGAACGGGCAGTTCCGTAGTCTCTGTCCACTCCTGCGTGTGGCAGGTGTCGCATGTCCAGCTCTGGCCGGGCACTGGAGCAGCCTGTCGGGGTGGGAAGAGCCCCTGGGAAGACCCAGCACGAAGACCCGAGGGCAAGACCACCATGTGCTGGGGGAGCCCGGAGCAGGGACGCCTTCCTGGGAGGGGCATCAGGGAGGCTAGGGGCTGGATAGAACGGTGCCCCCTGCAAGCCAGGGCCTGGGAGGGCACAGAGGGCACGGAAGGCCAAGGACCCCACTCGGCGCGGCGGTGGAGAAGGGGTGGTGAGAACACAGGCATGTGCCCTGGGCAGGAGGCACACCACCCTGGCTGCCTGGAAGGGCAGGTGAGGAAGGGCCTCCCCCAGGACAGGAAGCCCCCTAGGGGAGCCTGCTTGGAGCAACTGGGAAAGGGAGTTGGGGATGGGGAGGAGGGATGGGGAGGACCTGGGCCTGGGCGGGGAGGGGCTCTGGGTAACTAACTACTGGACCCCCTGAAGGACCTATCGAGAGAATGGCACCCAGGTAGGACAGCTCCTAGGGACCAGCCAGCATCTGGCCCGTGTGTCTGGAGGCTGGAAAAGAGGGTTCAGCTGAGGCTCAACCCACTTTGAGGCAGGAAGCAGGCCAGGCCTGCAGCCAGGAGCCCGGCTGGAAGGGCCAGCTTGCCACCAGACCAGGGGACTGTGACTGATGGCTCTTGTCACTGAGGAGAGCAGCTGCTCAGAAGTGGCAAAGTTGGGGCTCGATGTGTGCGTACGAGTGTGTGTGTATAAGTGCACACGCTCATGTATGGGTGTATGTATACATGTATGTATGTGCATGCGTATATATGTGTGCGCATGTGTGTACGCATGTGTGTGGCAATTCTGTAAAGTGGAACTACTCAACTATCTACCCACCTATCCACACACCCATCCATCCATCTGTCTATCCGTCCATCTGTCCGTCCATCCATCCATCCATCCATCCATCCATCCACCTATCCATCTACCTATCTTGGCAGAACCATTGCCCTCTGTTCAATGCCCAGTCCTTGCCCTCACATGCCAACACCTTTTTTGGCTTCCCCTCCTTAACACCCAGCTCCACAAACTCAAGACTCCAATGTTCTTCAATCAAAGGGAGATACCACTTTGGTGCCTAGAACATTAAGACCCCCCCTTCTATCTTAGGAGCCCCTTCCCATCCTGATGTCCTTAGCACATTCACAGACAGCACAGCCTCCTGCACCCCCGAGGCAGGGCTGAAAGCACCTTCCTGTTTCACTGGTCCAGCAGTAAGAAGCTGTTTCCTGCGCTACCAAGGAGGCGCTGCTGAGAAGTCCGGGAGCATCTGGTCCTGGGTGGGGGGAGGTGTGAGGGAGAGGAGAGCAGGCGCCACGGAGGAAACACACGGGAAGCAAAAGTGAGTCTGAGAGAAGCAACAAACAAAAAAGAAACAGGAAAAGAAAAGGACCGAGAATCTGGGTGTTTGTTTCAGACAAAGCTGGATTCAAGCAGTGTGGGAAGGCGGCCCGGGAAGCCTCCGTCTCCTCCTCCATAAAACAGGGGCGGGTGGGACCTCGGGGCTGATGGGCGGAGGACCAGAGGATGACGGGCCCAGGGATGGTCGTCTAGTAGGTGCCCCTCAGTGCAGCTTTTGCTGCCGTTTGTGGCTGAAAGGCCAGCTGGGCAGGGCTCAGGGGTGCACGGCTGCCAACCCCCCTGGAACCATCTTGGGCCCCAGGACCGAGGGGCTGGGTGAGAAGCCAGATGGGCTCTCCTGCGAGGGCCCCTCCCGTGCAGGGGGACGAATCCGCTGGAGTAGGAGACTCCACAGGCAGGGAGCAGGAGCTAGGTCAAGCGCATCCCAGAGCCCGAGGGAGAGGCCTTGGTGGCCATCAGCTGGCCGCGCCCAGCCCCTGCCCCCCAAAAAACACCCCACACACACGCACAGGCCCTGGAGGCTCTGCAGTCTTCTTTTCTAAGATCAATATTTATTCTTCACTGGTTTCATAATGAAAATAGATCTTTAAATGCCTCAAATATGCAAACATCACCAATGGGCACACATCGCAGACGTGTTGAGGTAAATACTGCTGCAGGAGCAGGGAGCAGGAGATGGCCGCCTCCTGGGCCCCAAATTGGGGCCTGCTGCTCGCTGGCCACTAGCCAATGCCACAGGGGCCGAGCCAGGTGAGGGCCTCGGGCAGTCCTGAGCGGACCATGGACAGCGTCTCTTTGGAGCACATGCAGTGCCAGAGCCTTCCATGGGGTGACTCTAACCCAGCGGGCCTGTGGGAAAGGCCCCACATTCTGACAGACTCAGGGGTCCCCCAAATACCCCACTGGTCACTGGTTCCCAGGAGCAGAGGTCCCCAGCCATGCTCCATCCCAGGGACACCGACTGGGAGTCACACTTGTCAGATGGACAGGTTTGTGCAGGGGATCTGGGTCCCTTTCCTTCTGATCTGGCCTGCACACACACCCAAGAGGGGCCACTCGTACGTTTAAAAAATAAACGTCTATTTGCTTATAAAAAATATATTATCAGCCAGGGGCAGGCAAGGGCAGGGCTAGCGCGAGAGACACTGTCTTATCAGAAGGTAGCCCAGGTGCCGGTGCCTCCTGGAAGAGGCTGGTCACCCAACAAAGCTGCTTCTCCTGATGGCTAAGTGGACAGCCCTGGGTGAACATCCCACGGGCACGGCCTCTGCTGGAGGGAGGCCCTCAGGGCTGGGTCCAGGGAGCCTGGGGCAGCTGCGGCATCATGGGGCTCCCGGCCCTGCCCAGCCCCGCCCAGTCGTGGCTGCCCCTGGAGTGCCCTCAGAAGAGGCAGGAGCCCCGCAGGCTGCGGGCCTGGCGCAGGTCGGCCGACAGGGAGCGGCTCATTTGCTTGGTGGTGAGTCGGACGCTCTTGGCAGCCTGCACGGCTCGGCTCAGCGCCTGGTTGAGCTCCTCCAGGCTGGCCAGGTCCAGCTGCACGGAGTGCCGGTGCCCCGAGGGTGGCTGGGATGAGGCTGTGGGGGGCCACTCAGCGGAGCGGGCTGAGGTAGGTCCTGGGGACACGTAGTACCTGAAGAGAGAAGTGACCTGCACTCACCAATCCCGGAGTGACCGAGCCAGGAGGGACATCAGCCCAAACGAAGCTTACAGCCATGCAGCCGGTGCCGACTCATGGCGGCCCCTAGGCCAGGGTAGGGCTACCCTGTGGGTTTCTGAGACAGTAACTCGTTAGGTGGGTGGGAAGCCTCGTCTTTCTCCCAAGCTTGGAACTCACTCACTTCTGAACCCCAGGTGGGCCCCTGGGCACCCCTCTGTGGTGGGTCAGCTTCTTCACCTCTAAAACGGGATTATGAGGCAGTGACGGGGGAGTCAGCTACAGTTCAGCTTGCTGCCGCCAGGCCGATGCTGGCTCACGGCGAGTCTACAGGCAGGGCCGAACATTCTGAGACTGGAACAGAAAGCCCATCTTTCTCCCACGGAGTGGTTTTGGACTGCTGAGCTTTTGGATGGCAGCCCAACTCGTAACCACCACACCACTGGGGCTCCCGGTGCTGGGTCCGTGGTCGGATTCTCTACTCCCAGGAGGAGACCTGGGTTCGACTCCTGCCCCACCCACCCTGTGAGCAGCCACTGCCCACGGATGCGGTGTGTCAGTGGAGAGTCCAGACTGGCAGGGAGGAGGAGGAAAGGCCTGGTGACGGCTTCTGAAAACCAGGCAGAGAGAACCCCGTGCTTTTATCAGTCTGGTCACGCCAGTGGACGGCACCGATGGCACGGCGTCTCCTTTCCACGGCGCACCGGCTGCCTCAAGTGGGGGCCAGCTTGCCACCAAAACGGGAGTCACAAGCACCTAGCCCAGGGCCTTGCCAGGAGGATGAAGAGGGGTCATCCCACCTGCCTGTTCACTTAGCCACCACTTGCTGACCGTGGGCTCAGCACTGGTGCCAGTGTGCAGGGTGCATGGTGAACGGAGAAACACAGACTCTGCCTTCTTAGAGCTCCTCCCTGGGGCTAGGATCTCGGGGACCAGGTCACCCCAAGCTCTGCCTCTACAAGCCCCTTGTTGGGAAGACCCTACCCATGCGCCCCACTTGTCAGGCTCAGAACCCAAACCACACTGCCATCCACAAGTGGATTTTGACATGCAGCAAGCCTGTAGGGCAGGGCAGGGCTGCCCCTGTGGGCTTCGAGACTGTCACTCTTCACGGGAGAAGAGTCTCATCTTTCTTCTGCTGACGGCTTCAAACTACGGAGCCGTGGTCTGCAGGCCACTGCAAAACCACTACACCACGGTGGTTCATTTTGTGGGGCTCAGGGCACTGGGAAATGTGTCCTGAGGACCCTGAAGGTGTGGCAGGGGCCATGGGGAGAGGGCGTCCTTCCCAGCCAACCCGGCAGGAGTGTGGGTACTTGGGGGGAGATGGGAGAAGACAAGGTGGAGCACAGACCTCCCCAGGAAGTGGCACCTGCACTCACCCCGGGCAGCATGGCTAGGGTTCAGAGACATGGGCAGGAGGAAAGATGGCGGGGTGGTGGTGGTGGTGTGTGTGTGTGTACTGTGTGCTGTGAGATACAGGGAACCCCAAATCCAAACTCACTGTCATTGGGTTGGTTCTGCCTCAAAGGGCAACTGACCGGCAGGTGGCAGCACAGGCCCATTTACCTTTCTAAAAGCCAGGCCAGGCCAGGGCCACTGAGCACACTCAGGTCTGCTTCCAGGCCAACGAAAACCCACCCAAACTCCAGCAAACACAGGCTGACAGTAGTTCCGACCTGGAGTGACCCTGCAGGAACAGAGCAGGACTTCCCTGGTGGGTTCCCAAGCCTGTAAATTCTCAGGGGAGCAGAGAGTCTCATTTTACTTCCGTGGAGTGGCTGGTGGGTTTGAACCACTGACCTTGTGATTAGCAGCCCAACATAGGAGCCCTGATTCTAGGAGCCTTACAAGCACTCTGGTTTATAGGCCATGGGCTACGTGCTATAGCTTTCCACGGTAAGTGAAAACTCACGGTATTCATGAATTCCCACTCAGAGTGACCCCATAGTCAGGGTAGAACTGCCCTGTGGGTTTCTGAGACGGGCTCTTTACAGGAGTGGAGAGCCTCCTAGTTCTCAGTGCATAACCCACAGCGCCACACGGGGGCTTGAGGAGCCGGTGAAATGTCCTGCGGGTGGTACCTGGATGGGGTCCTGGCACAGGAAAAGGACACTAGGTACACAGGGAGGAGGCCTGGCCAACACTCTGGCTGATGACCGGGAGATGGAGGGTGGGATGTGTCCGGGAACACCTCTGCAGAAACGCCTGGTGATGACTTTCTGAACAGGCAGACACTGAAACTCCTCTGGCCCAGTTCCTGCTGATGCGCATGTGTGTGTGTGTGTGTGTATGGGGTGGGATGGGGGGAGGGCGATGGCTCAGAGTCAGCTGACAGCAGCTGCTAAGGAGACCTGAATAATGCGTAGATTCACAGCCCTAATCATCTATCCACATGGCCTCCTTGCTTGTTACAACACACTTACCCCCAGAGGAGGTGGGGTACGGGTGGTATTGTTACACTGTCTGCCATCTGTTTGATTTCTCTGGAAATCTAAAAACTATTTGTTATCTATTCAGTGCTCACTACTTGGTTATAGGAAAGAGCCTCAGGGAAAGGGGAGGTGGGGAGAGTTCTAGAGCTGCCCCCTGCCCCCTTCCCCCCGAAGCTGAACACCCTCAAGAGAGCCGAGCATCTGCTGAGCCCCTCGGAGCTTGCTGAGCGGGGACCTCCTGAGGGTCTGCTGGCCTCTCACACACTGTCCACTTGGGGCGAGACACCTGGATTCTCTGCTGCCTGGCCCAGGCTAACCCCTGCCCCACCCCCACCCCCCCACACACAGAAGCCCTTACACAGAGGCTGGTGGGTATGGGACAACAGGCACGGAGGAGACGTAGGCGAAGGCCGGAGGGGCTGGTGCTGGGGGCGCAGCTGCCAGGTACCACAGTCCAGCGGGCTGCTCCACCGGCTTGCTCCGCTGCTTGGGGCTGGAACTGGAGGGCACATGTCTCCTGGTGGTGGCCTTGTCTGCCCCTGTCAGGAAGGGACAGCACACCGTCCAACACTCTGGAGACCAGCAGAGAATGGGGGCTTTGCCCAGCCGCTCCTCATTGGAGCTGGGGGACACCTTCCTGAGGGAAAGCAACCCCCCTCACCCCCACCCATTTACCCTGAGCAGTGACCCCCAACCCTGGCCGGGAGCTGAGGGTCCGGCGGAGAGTAGGGGAACTGGAGGCGGCTGCGTCGGGGCCACCCCTCTCGGGAGGACACAGAACTTGAGGGCACACGGGACAGTGGGGGGTGTCTGCTGGAGATGGTGTCAGTGGGTCCTGGATGGCAGCACCACCTGGGGAGGAGGAAGGGAGGTCAGGTCCTGGAGGCCAGCACGGAGCTTTCTTCCTGGGGGAAGGGGTGGGGGACTGCTGTGGAAATGAGTCCTCAGCACACCTGCCCGGACCGGACCGCGGAGTCCTCGCCGGCACGGGAGGAGCCAGGCGCTGTGCTGGGGCTCACACACATCTTATCAACCCCAGCAAGCGGACGCTAGCAGCTCCAGCACTTCCCCACATTACAAGTGGCCGAGGAGCTTGCAGGATCTCAGAGCTGCCCGGCAACTAGCGCCTGAGGACAGACTGCCTGTGGCCACCCCACCATGGTAAGACAGGCCCGTCCTCACGCGGACATGGCCAGGAACAGCCCCAAGAACCAGGACGTTGCTACTGTCTCCCTCTGCCTCACTTCCCAACACTCCTTCGGGGTGAAGTCCGGGGGTGGGCTGCTTCTCCTGCAGGTCTCAGCTCAGGAGCCACCCACTGCAGAAGCCCGCCCACCCTGTGTAGCTCGGCTTTTTCTCCCAGCTGTGATTTGGCTTTCTCCTGGCCTGGGAGGGGCCTGGAGGCCAGTGTGGCCAAGTTCAGCATCTATTTGTTGAATTTTGTAAGAATGAGCGAGTGAGTAGAGAGACCTGTGAGAGGGCCAAGTGGGGAGAGTGGCAAAGCGCTGTGATTCTGGAGGTACAACACACTGGGCTTAACTTCTAGCCCAGGCCCTGGGAGCTGTGTGCTGCAGGCAAGTGACTCCACCTCTCGGAAACTCGGCACACTTGCCCAGGAAGTGCATGCAGCGGCAGGGCCTACGATGTGGAGTGGTGAGCACCGATGTAGGTAAAACCCTTAGCAGGATGCCCTCACTACCTGAACACAGAAACCCCCAGCCCAACTCCCTGCCAGCGAGCCTGCTGGCGAAGAGCCGGGTGGAACTGCCCCGGTGCATTGCTGACACTGACTGTTCACAGGAGTAGAAAGCTTGTCTTTCTCCGGAGTAGTGGCCGGTGGTTTCAAACTGCTGCCGTGGTGGTTGGTGGTTAGTCTAACTGGTAACCGCTGCTCCACCAGGGCTCCTGAACAGCAGGTGCTAAGTAAATCCAGTTCCACCATCATCTGTCTTTAACCCTTTGCACGTGGAGCCTGATGCTCAGAAGAGTTAAGAAACTGGTCTGTTAAGAAACGGCAAGCCCTTGGCAGAAATGGAAAGACGCACTGGCTGTCCGATTCTCTGGCCACCACTCTCCCCGGTACTCTTGCCTGCTGAATTGAGGGAAGAGAGGAAAGAAGGTGGGGGGGGGGGATAAAACGTAACCCCTACAGCTAGCCTCCCCTGCATCAAGACCCTCAGTGAACCCCCTGAACTGTGCCCACCGTTTCTCCACGTCAAGGTCACGCAAGGTGGATTCAGGCAGCAGCACGGAGCAGCAGGTAGGATGGCAGGTCACCCTGGCTGGTCCTAGACCCTCGTTCAAGCGTGTCCCTGCTCAGGGCAGGGCTCACATCCGGCCCGTCACCAGTACCCACCCCAAGACCATGGATGGCAGCCTCAGCTGGCCTGGCTGCTTCTGCAGGTCCCGTCCTTACCTGGGTCCTGGGCCCTATCAGGCTGACAGTGGGGACAGGAAGCAGTGCCGCCGCCTCTCAGGACAGTTCTGGGAGACAGGACATGGTACTCCTGGCCTGGGGAAGGAGTCACAACAGTCACCACTCCACGAAGCACGAGGTGAGGTTTGCTGTCACACTCGCTGCTCTTCTCTGGGTGGTTTTAAGAGCCTCATGTACAAACATGTTCCTTTCTGTGCACAGGGTTACCAGGGGTCAGAGCTCTCTCGATGGCACCTAGAGCAACAGTGTACCATCACTCACGTGTTGTGTGTATGGGGCATGCACACTCGTGCCGCGTGTACGGTGCATCCACACTCGTGCTGCGTGTACAGTGCATCCACACTCGTGCCGTGTCTACGGTGCATCCACACTCGTGCCGCGTCTACGGTGCATCCACACTCGTGCCGCGTATACGGTGCATCCACACTCGTGCCGCGTATACGGTGCATCCACACTCGTGCCGCGTATACGGTGCATCCACACTCGTGCCGCGTGTACGGTGCATCCACACACATGCCGTGTATACGGTGCATCCACACTCGTGCTGTGTATGCAATGCATCCACACTCGTTCCGTGTATACAGTGCATCCACACTCGTGCCATGTGTACGGTGCATCCACACATGTGCTGTGTATACAGTGCATCCACACTCATGCCGCATATACAGTGCATCTGTGTATATGGTGCATCCACACCTGTGCTGTGTATACGGTGCATTCACACTCATGTAGTGTGTATGGTGCAGCCACACACATATGGTGTATATGGTGCATCCACACATATGCTGTGTATATGGTGCATCCACACTTGTGCTGTGTATATGTTGCAGCCACACACGTATGGTGTATATGGTGCATCCACACCTGTGCTGTGTATATGGTGCATCCATACTCATGCAGTGTGTATGGTGTATCCACACACATATGGTGTATATGGTGCATCCACACTCGTGCCGTGTATACGGTGCATCCACACTCATGCTGTAAATATGGTGCATCCACACACATGCTGTGTATATGGTGTATCCACGCACGTGCGCACAGATAACTGCACACACACATTTCTACATACACACTTCACAAATATCATTAAACGTGCCTCACTTTATCGTAAGCCCTCTCGACTCCTATTGCTTCATCTCAGATCCTATTGGAGAACCAGATCCCCAAGCAATACTGAGGAAGCGGCACCTCAGGAAATCACACTGTGTTTTGCATGGGGCAGACTGCTCCAAAAGACCCCCACACAGAAAAGGGCCGCTTTGAGGACACGGTGGTGTGGGTCCCGCCCCAGTGTCTTCAAGTCCCTTGCGTGCACGAGAAAGGCAGGCTGTGAATAAGGGAGGCCCCAGAGGGGGTGGACGCCTTGGAATGATTGTGTGTGGGTGGAGAACAGGGACATCGCCACGGACTGCCAGAGCGGCTCCAGCTCTGTCTCTGGAGGAAGTGCAGCCGGATGCTCCTGAGAAGCCAGGTCATGTCCTTCATCACCAGGAGTGACCCGTTCCTGGAACAGGCCAGCAGGCTTGGTAGAGTGTCATCGGAAAAGAGGAAGACCCTTGCTGCGATGGACTGACGTGGTGATATCAACACTGCTCTCACGATTCGTGAGGCTGGCACAAGACAGGGCAGTATTGTTGGGTTGTGCATGGGGACGCCATGAGTCCTAGGTGACCCACGGGCACCTAACAACAACAACAACAACAAGAAGCAACAACCCAGTTAAGCACCACATGCCCATCTCTCGACCTGCAGCAGCCTTCATGCTGGGCTCGACTGCAAAGGGAAGCCAGGAAGACATGGGATGCGATGAGCAGCTGTGAAGGTTTCGGCTTGAGGTCAGTGGCGCCCATACACCCTCAGGGATTCCCCCCACCCCTGTGCCCCAAGTGGCTGCAGAAGGGGTGATCACAGTGCCGATCCTAGGTTCACTGGGAGAGCTGAGTGGGGCCCTAACTGTGAAGCAGCTGCCGGAGGCTTCACCCCAGAAACCTGCACCTGGGGAGGAGGGGGTTTCAGGGACCATGGATGGAAGGAATCAGCAAACACACGCGATCCACGGGGCAACACTCCCTCGCGTGTTTCATATCACAGAGCATGAAGGAAAGCCACTTTCTGAATGACCCGCTGGGTAGGTGGAAACGCTTGCTCATGACAAAAGAGCCCACCCAAGGCATGGGGCCCTCCCCCACAATGCCTGCTCCCAGCCTACCTGTGTAGTGGCCCCGGAAGGTGGCCCGGTCTGGCCGCCCGGAGGTGGCCCCTGCTCTCATTCTGTCCCCAACTGCTCTCGGATTTTCCTGGGAGGTCCTGCTTTCCCCAGAGGGGAGGCGGGGAGAGGTGGGCTCAGATTCGGAGGCTGGAAGGGAGAGAGCGGGGGCTGAACACAGAGGTGGGGTGGGAGTGGGGGACACAGCTCAGGGGGGCACCGGGGTGGACAGACTGAATCCCAGAAACACACTGGCTCAGAGCTGAGCGTCGGTCTAGACACTAGATGTGCACTGCCACGTGCTTTTGTGGCAACCCCGTGGGGCTGATGCTGTTGCCACTCAGAGCAGGTACAGCCAGCCAAGGCCAGAGGGCCAAGTAGGGGCAGAGCCCGGCCTGCGCCCGGGCACGGACTGCAGGACATGGGAGCATCCTCTTTCGGCTCCCTCATCCACACCACGTGCGTGGCAGGCCCACCTGGCAGGGAGGTCAAGGGCACTGCTATAAACAGAGGTCTCGGCAGACCACTAGCCAGCAGACAGGAGACGAGCAGTCCACGGTGGCTGGTGTTTGAAACCACGACATACACATAGAAGACCTTCTTCCAAGGTTCCTCTGAAGAAGATGCCGCAGGTCCTAACCCATGAGATAACAGACCCAGACTGTGGCCTCTGGGAAGTAGCCCTGGAGGGCGGTCACTTACTCAGGGACAGCTGGGGCACCTCCCGAGGCACTGAAGAGGACCTGGCTCGCCGGCGTCCTCTGAGAGCCGCTTGCTCTGCAGCCCCAGGCTCCGCAGACAACCTCTCTGTGGATTTACTGACAAAGGAGAGCAGACCATGTTATCCCCCGGGCTCTGCAGACAACCTCTCTGTGGATTTACTGACAAAG